ACTAGGTAGCACAGTTTCCCTGTAATCTTTATAAACGGTACGTTATGTATATTGCTGACGTGTTTTCGGAAAATAGGTTGATTAGCCAATCAGATCACTGCCTTTCACCCCTTTCGCTCTTTCTGAGGAGCTTTTGAAATCAGGTAGATGTGGTAAATGATGAGTTAAATACAACTTTAACTCTACATTTTCCGCACCTACCCATCAAACACTGCTTCCAAAAAGGATCCAAAAGATCCAAAAAAGATACCATTTGCTGGAGCGAGGGCCAGACAGAACAAACTGACGTCAGTGGAGCCATCATCAACCCCGAGACATCACCTTGAAGAGAAAAATGCCAAGAAGCGGAACTGTACTACGGTGTACTAGCACCACAACCGTTGATCTTTTCGGTATCCCTTCATTTTATTGATCTTTTCGGTACCATACCATCCCTTCATTATTTATTGTCAAGCAAGAAGATAAAGAGAGGACTCGACTCGGTACCCATGATGATGAGATTGTTTCAACTTGCTGCTCCTCTGTTTTTTAGCTGGTTGTGTTTGGTCCATCCAGCACTAGCTTTTACACCACCCAAGTCCTCAGCTACCAGTGTTACCCGCCACCATGGTGTCTCTCCACTAGTACGTGGATCGCCCTTATTGTTATCCATGACCAGCAGCAGCAGCAGTGATGCCACGGATGTCATGATTAATGGCGAGGCCAGTAGCAGCAGTCGCATTATTCCCGCCGCCATGACGGGCCGATCGCAATTGGCCGCTGCCTTTACCGCGCTGGACGAAAGCGATCAATACGATGCCGTCTTGACGGGATTGTGTGCCAAGATTCTAGACAATGATCAAGCCGCTACCGCCGCCAGTCTCGAAGATTCCGCTGCGCTCTTGACGGAAATGAATCAACGCAACATACCCGCCAGTCCACGATCGCTCATGTCACTCATTGATGTAAGTATTAATATATTATATACTACGAGTATGCTGTATACTATCATACTTGCGCGTATGGATGGTAGAAAAAAGGGGTATACGATTGATTGCATGGAGATGAGGGGGGAAAGAAGAGAGCTGAGGGAGAGAATGACAAGAACAATTTGCAATCCACATCTGCATACTTGTTTCTACAGAGTTAACTCATCCAAAACCTTTGTTTCTTTTCTCGACTTCCACCACATGAATGAATCATCATCTCTGTATCAATGCAATCCCTGAATCTACAATCCATCCATCCATCCATCCATCCATCAATATCAATATTAATACAGGCCACAGTCAAGACGCAAGATACCACCACCATGACGGATATCCTTCGATTGGCCCGGCAAAACAAGGCAGGATTGAACCAGTACGGAATTTTGCAATCTGATATTGTCGACATGCCGGCGGGCAATCAACAAGTGGCGTGTGCCGATGGATCTCGCAAAACACGAGCGGAACGATTGGAATCATTGCCGGATGTTCCCGTGGACGATCGAGGCACGGAAATTGCCTCGGCCATGGCCACGTTGGGAGTGGTCGGTATCTGCTTTTTGGCCAATTTGTTTGGCATGGACGATATTACTCCCGTCACCAATCTGTTATGGTTTACCATTACTACCGTGGGAGTCGTCGACAATTTCTATGATGTCCTCCAATTTGGTTCCAACGCCGCCATTTCCTCTCTCAATACCACCGACACCAACAAGGAAAATCTAAAATTACCACAAAAGGAGAGTCTCCCGTTTGGATTGGGAACGGGAGAATTGACCGGAACCGTCACGCGGGGATTGACCCGTCTGTTCAGTACCGACACGGAACGCGAATGTCAAGTCGAAGCGGCCGCACTGTACACGGCATATGTCTTGGGATTGCCCTGTTTTGCCTTTCGTCCCAATTCCCTCGAAGCTGCCAATTTGATGGTTCAACACGAAGAGCAAAATTTACTGTCCACGACCAGTGGCATTCTCAAAGTCTTGATTTGGCTCATGGCACCGGTTGCCATGGAAAGTATGAAACATCCACAACTCATTTGCAGTGATCCACGAGAAGCCAGTGGATTATTGCAACGATTGCAAGATTATGCCGGGAAAAATAATTTGGATAATTTGGATAGTCTCTGGTGGATGCTCGAAGAATCACCCGAACAAGAAACGCAAGATTTGTTGAAATGGGCATACCATGAAGCCGACGTGTTGATACGAAACAATTTGAAGGATGTGACGGAAATGTCGCAACGACTCACCGGTGGAGCGGCGACGATTGGTGATTGTGTGGCTGTCGTGGAACGGTGGTAATAGCAGAAAGGAAAGGAACGAACGATTTCTTTGTTTCACAACTAACTGTCATGACGCACGCACACAAAATAAGTCGAGTCTTTGTTGGGGAAAAAAGAGAAACCCCACAACAACAATCATCTTAGAGAGAGGGAGGGCAACAGCAAAAGCAAGACATGACAAAGAACCAGCCACGGGGCCAAATGCTAGCTATGGTACGGTAAAAAGGACGGATCAGCCCATGACAATCACCTCGTGTACACTATTACAACTAAATAAAAAATTAGGAAGAATTCAGTGGTCTTGTTGGCGGGGGCACAGCACGTAATTGGCATTGGGCAGTCAACAACTCGAATCGAATCCAAACAAAACAATCAGCGAAAACCAATCTCGTCAGCTAGATCCATTTATTTTGGGGCATGAGTGGCTATTCATTCATACCTATGACATTATGGCAGGCAGCAGCCGATAACATCGCGCCCCGATCCTGTATACCGTACGGTATGAGATCGGTAGAGTCGCCGCCATCGAGCATCGCTACAGGACACTGTGCGGGAGATCCTGGGACGTACTTTCAGAAGAAGGGCTGCAAATCTCAGACTTCACAGGACACTTTCAGGGAGATCGCGGGATGAAGGGCTCCAAATCTCACGACTTCAAGGACACACGTTGTGGATACCGTTTGATACACCTGCTCTAGCTAGCTAGCTTCCAACCCCTGAGTTCAAGACTCTCTCTTCAGGCTATGCCAGTCAGCGCACAAGTATTGTTTGATGAATGGGGGTAGGGGAGTGCTATTTTAAAGGATTAAGTCCAAACACAAAGAGAAAATACAGCTGTGCACAATGCTCGAGGAGATTCAATATTGGAGACCGGGCTTGTGAGAAGATGAGGGCAATGAGTGTCCTAAAGCATTGCCATCAAGAGCTGCAGAGTAGCAACCCCAAGGATCCATTGCTTCGCTTCAGACTTAGAATATGCCGAGGATCGTAAGGAAGGTGCCATGGTGGGCATGGCACTGGGGGCTACCGTGCCATTGGCAGGTGCAGCACCGGGACTACTACTATTGTCGGGGCTGCTGGTGGGTGCCCCAGCGCTGGTATTGAAGATGTTTCCTGGAGCTGGGGAGTCACCTGGTCCAGATGAGGTGGTGGCACTTGGTGCACTGGTTACTGAAGTGTCAGGTGCAGGCGAGGAGATAGGGGTGGGAGCAATAAGTGTAGTATTGGAATCAGTTGTTCCCTTGCCACTCCCATTGGTATACTCCGGAATTTCTTGGCTCATCACCAACGAGTCCCCAAATGCAACCGCTTCTTGCACGAGTTGCATGTCAAAGGTTCCATTGTCAGAACGGACCACAACAATCCCTTCGTCTCCATCGTATCCCCACGAGGCCAATTGTCGTGCTGGTGAAACACCTTGTACAATGATAACATCCGTTGCTGGGTTCCATTGTCCGCTGCATGCATCATACGAAGCTGGAATCGTAATGGTGCTTCCTCCCCTCTCTACTGTAATCTCCAAGGCGCTGGGGATGTCACTGGTACAAACGGGCAAGGCCGTAGCCCGATGCACTCGGTCTACCTCGGGCAACTCGGCCTTGAACGTAAAGAAAGGATCCTTTGTCATTTGGGATGGCCCCAACCGAGCATACATGCGCGTCAAATAGGCAAAGCTATCCACGTAAGCTTGGTCCTCTCGGGCCGGTTCCAAGACCTTTTCCTCGAGTTCTTGTGCCAAGAGCGTAGCATTGAATACCCAGCTTTCGTCTTTGGGTTCAAGCCTATTGAACGTCGTGTGTTCATTGATGATGGTAACCACCAGTGGCATGGTGTTGGGCAACGAGAAAAAGTACCGATCAAAGAACTCTTGCTCGTTCTGGACACTGGCAATGTCGGCCGCATCGACCGGGATTTCAATGCGACCTGCTGCAATACTGGCAGGTCCAGCATATTCCGTCACAAATGTGTGATTGAGCAATTCGTTGGCAGCTCGATTGAAACGTTCTCGATAGTTGTCATCAAAGCATGTAGGACGGTTTTGACAATTCAGCCAGGGCACCTGGGCATCATCAAGTTCCATCTCCATAAAGTTCAAGGGAGTTGCTCGGACATCGCCCAAGACGTATACTTGAATGGGCATGTTTTCCGTAGCAGCAATGCGGGTCAATTGAATGGGGACACAGGCAATCGGACTTGGATCTTGCTGCGCGGGCATTTCGTAGGTCATAATGAGGGGTTGAATTTCTCCGGCCTCTGCATCTTTTTCCAGACGCAATGCTACGAATTTGTGATCATTCATGGCATAGTAGTTCAAGAGAGCTGCTGCTTCATCGGGTTGATCATAGTTGTTTTCTTCGAGCCAACGAAAGACACTGGAGGGATCATTGTCAGCTGCTTCGATAATGACATAATCAAAGGGTCCTACATTTCCCTCGTCCAACACGACAGCAGCACCAGCCGCAGAGCAGTTGGGACAGCCGCCGGCTCCAGCACTGTCGAAAAAGGCCATGGCGGGAGCACATGTTTGTTCGCCTTGAAATGCATCTTGCGAACAGGTGTCCGTGACCTCCTGTTGAATCTGCAACGAAAACGTTGGCAACGTAGTCTGGAACAATGCCGTAAAGATTCGATCCGAGCCAACATCGATCTGAGGTTGATAGGGTACTGGCAGTACCCAGCTGAACCCTTCTGCGGGTCCCTCGTAGAAGATCTGAACGTGCATTGTTACGGTGTTACCCTCGACACCGAACACTATGGCTTCACCGGACTGAACGACGGGCTGGGCCAGTTCGCAAAAGAAACCTCCACATGCTTCCGAGCGTGGAAGGAGACACAAGATCAGCAGATACGGAAGCAGTTGTCGCATCATGCATGTACTACCAGTAACACAAAGGCTCAGGATCACCAAGATTTCAAGCAAGCAAAGTGGATCCCTTTCCTGTTGTGAACCTTCCACATGCATCCATTACGAAATCGCCGTTTTTCTTGGAAAGTGAGAACCCGAGAACCCGAGGTCACCTTGAGACCAACCGGAGGTCCCCTCGCGGTCAGACGCGCACCTCGCCTATTGATTCCCACCCTGGACCGCACAACGGTTCCCCATTCTCGGTACTGGTACTGGTATCCAAGACTGGAGGTCAATCGGAACAATGTGCTTCTTCTCATAATATATTTTGGCTCGATCCTCCCCACAATTTCCACGAGCGCAAGATGACGACGACCTTGAATCTTTCCAACACGGACTTGGCGCTGGCGGCCTTCAAGCACATCGAGTTCCTCAAGGGCCTCCATGCCTTGTCCATCACCCTGGAGAAGCCGTCCTTGGAGAGCTTGGACCGTTATCTGAACTATTGGTTGCCACTCGTTGCCAGTACTCTCGAGGACGACAAGCCCAGCCAACTAATCCCTCCTCCCGACGTTGCTTGGTTGTTGCATTGTCATCGGTTGGCTCCGTCACTCTACGAGCAACATGTGTCGAAACGATTTGGAAAGCTTGTAGAACCGCCGCACAGTAGCGCCTTTGAGTTTCAAACCGTAGATGATGTGCGTGTGGAAGCCCAGCAAACTCGAGAGTTTTGGGAGGGGCTGTATCCAAATCATCCATTCTTCCTCGTAGAGTGTGATAATCCAACCCACAGCACAGCTACAGCAGCATTATTAGAAGCAGAGCCTTTACTCTCTACCAAGGAACCCACCAACGATACTTCATCTATCCAACATCCTTTGAATTCTTCCCACCTGCGGCATGTCAACTTGCAAGAGTTTCTGGACAAGGAGTTTCCATTGATTGACTCCACAGAACGGCAAGCTACCTTCCTTTGGCAGGTATCGGGGGAACAATTTGGCAGGTTGGACTTTGTGATGGAAGGTGTGGAGAACTACATCAAGTTTCTTCAGCTCTTCGGATCCAACCCCAACAGTGGAGTTCCCTTGGTTCCCACGTACCAAATTGATTTGATATGGCATACCCACATGTTGAAGTCTCTTCAAATGTACAACGATGATTGTATCCGCATCACTGGCCGTAGATTCCATCACGATGATTCGCTCAACGACCGCACCAAAGGAGGAAAATTGGAAAATTCCTTTGAGAGCACTTGCAAACTTTGGAAGAAGATCCATGGCATGGAATATGCCGTCCCCGGTGGCATGTATCGGGGGGAACCGCCCCAAGGGTACTGGGATCCGACTTGGTCGTCCTCTGCTGTAGATCATCCGACTTCCGCGCCGCCAGCCCCATTAGTAGCAGGATCGTTCTCGGCGGGCACACAGTCACCAGCACCGAAGAAGTGGTTGAAAGCCGGACGTGATATCTACTATCAAGGGAACCCAACCTTCATCGAAGCCAGCCCCAAGGATCGACGTCGTGGCATTAATGCCAACCAAAGGAAAGAAGACTACATCTTTGGCAAACCTGATCAGTACTGGATGGGTGCAGGATACTATCACATCTATACCAGAGAGGGTTGGTCCATGTTGATCAAACGGCTCGAAAAGAGGGCGCGGCAAGCAAGCCACGTTTGCGAGAACTACTTGTGCTTGCGTTGCGCTTGCTTGGGCCTCACGCCCTGGCAAACGAGGGAATATCAACAGCTGGAAGCTCGCCACAAGGAACTCCTGGCTCTTTTGCACCAAGCGGAAGCACAGCATGCACGGGGAGGCCCAGGTGAGGCCATTGTTGCGAAGCATCAAACTGATAACGAAGTGGAACGTCCTAGAAGCGCGTACATCGGAGACAGCACAGGTGCTGCATACTATGGTGGAGCAGCATGCGGCGCTTATACACCCAGTCATTATCACCATGTCTCCCACCATAACTATTGCGATGCGGCTGCCTGCGGTGGTGGGACTGGCGACGGCGGAGGTAAGTGCTGAAGCCCGCTTGCAGCGTAGAATCGCGTCTCTCAACATCATGCTCGGATATGACTTAGGTTGCGGTGGCGGTGGTGCTTGTGGCGGTGGGGGGGCTGCCTGTGGCGGCGGAGATGGCGGAGGTAATAGCTGCTGCGTGCTGTCTTGATTTCCCATGTGTCAAATCTCTCTTACCTTCTGGTCGTTCAATCCCAGGCTGTGGAGGCGGAGGTAAGGTTTTGCGCGTTGACGATCCAAGCGCTGGGTCCCATCACTTTTCGACCGCCCTATGGCTAACCTATCCTAACGGTCCGATGCAACTTAGCTTGTGGTGGTGGTGGCTGTGGTGGGGGAGGTAAGATTTCTTAGTTTGGTTGGCCTTCGCAGCATATGCATTGCATGCACTATAGGCAGTTGACTCATATTGCTATTCCTAGGCTGTGGTGGGGGCGGCTGTGGTGGAGGATAAACTCCGGCCCACACGGCATCCCTGTAGGAGGAACATCCTGTAGAGGGCCTTTGAAGATCTGAGAGACGCGCTGTTCGACAATCTGTCTGCAGATTTGATGTGGTGAAGCATGCCTCCACTGGGATAATGAAACCATTCTAATGAAAGGTTACATCGCACCCTTCCCAGCAGGATCCGTCTCGATCCCCGGCGCAACCTCACGACTCCTCATGAGACCATTCAGCACCTCAATTGGTTCTCCGTGGACCCCACAAACCAAGCTGATAAAGGGTGAACCATTGTTTCGTGGGTGGTGAATAGTTGGCAATCAAAATTATAGACTATGTCATGCTTTTGGGTGATTCTCACAAGTACAACCACATAGACTAGTTCCATAGCAGACTGACAGGTTGGTCGTTGGATCGGAATAGTCATTCCCACCAAAACGTTTCATTTCACGTGGCGGGAGTATGACGCCACAAAATCCAGCAGGGATGCTCCCAGATAAGGATGTGTTCATGACTACCAGGCTTGTCAAGTTGTCCAACAAAAGCAATTCCGTGGGAAGAGTCCCAGAAAGGTTGGTATTTTGCAGTTCAAGATTCTCAAGACTAGACAACAAACCAATTTCTGTTGCAATAGACCCTGAGAAAAGGTTGTCATTGATGTGCAACTGCTGTAACTGGGTGAGTTGGGGAAGCAAATCTTGTTCCAGTGGTCTGCCCACTAATTGGTTGGCCCTAATGAGCAGTTGTCGCAGCTCTTGAATTAGAGCAGACAGATGGAAAAGCATGAGCTTGAGATGAATTTTGCAAATCTGGTATCATGAGAAGATAACTCACGTGACATCATGGTTAACTCTTCTGGTAAAGTGCCAGTGATGGAGTTCCTTGCCAAGTTCAAGAATCTCTGCAAAGAAGTGACACAACGCCGTTAGTGCATAGAGGAAGCATCACCACACAAGCTTCATTCATGATAACTTACTAGCTTTGTCAACAAGCCCATCTCACTTGGAATTGTGCCATTGAGATGAAAGTCCATCAATTGGAGAGATCCCAGGTTGGTAAGCTTGCCAATTTCAGCTGTTCCAAACAAAATTTCAAAACCTTGTTTAGCAACCAGAAGGTGAAGACGAAGAAAAGAAATAATAGCACTTACATGGGATTGATGTGAACCCCCCAGGTTTCCAATAGCCTAGACGTAGTGCCTCTAAATTGTGCAGGTTTCCAACTACCTCCGTGAGGAAAGATTTTATATCCAACAAAGGGCACTCTGAGAGAAGCAAGATCTTCAGGTTCGACAATCGAAGAATCTCAGTGGGGATTGACCCTGTGTAGGCAGAAAATATCAGGAGAGTCGAGTCAAAAGTCAAACTGCGGAACTTCTGCTCTCTTGCATACCAGAAAAGTTGGCCCTCTCAGATCCCAGACCAAAAAGGCTGCTTAGGTTGCCCAGTTCAGTAGGTAAAGTCCCAACAAGTTCGCTACCTGAGATCATTAGTAACTCCAAGCTTTGTAGCTGACCCACTTCTGTAGGTAGTGTGCCAGACAATTTTGTCGTGCTAAAATGCAAGAATTCCAGCCTTGTCATCATCCCAACCTCTGATGGTATGTTTCCTTTGAGCTGGAGGCTCCAAGATATTGAAAGTTCTTCCAAGCTCTCGCGAAGCAGGGATATTTCTGGTGGTATTGTTCCGTCCAAGTTGTTGGCATACCAAAATTTCAATGATAGGAGTCGCCCATTGTCATCACAATTGGCTGCTTGTTTTGGGTGAATTTGTTCCCAGCTGCACTCATCGGAGTCCCAATCCAGCCAGCCTTGATTTTTTACCCAATAGCCCCCCCGTGTGGAATAATAAAAAGTGGCCAGTGCAAACCTTTGCTTCAGTCTCCATACTGGAAAATGTTGTGTATTGTTGGATTTGTCGATATGCTTGCTTAGCCATTGGTATGCCTTGGTCTGTGGTGACCTAGAATTTTCCATTGCCATTAGGGTGTACTCAGGCAAATTGAGTCTTTCCCATAGGGATACTGGTGCTTGTGTGATTGAAGCTATTGTCCCTGGATTTTCTTGTATTGGAATCGCTCCATTTTGCTGCTTTGCTGCCTGAGCTTGATTACTTGATTTTAGAGCAAGAAGAAACGCCATAAGAACGATAGAGACAATGGCAATGGCAACAATGGCTTCCAGAGAGAATTCGAGACATAGTCGCTTCTTCCATAATCTTTTTGCCCTGGTTGATATTGGCTCTGCTACGGCCATTGGAATCTCCCCATTTTGTGGTTCATCAATTGGGTCAGCATGAATGAGACCACCATTGCCATCAATTTCATTTTGAGATGTAGACACCAATTCCAATCCCAGCTCTTCCATGTCAGGTGTCCCTCCAGTTGATGGCCTACGCATTGGACGATCAAACAACAGTGTAATCCCATCCACAGCATAGGCCCCAGGTTGCGCTGCTGAGACGGCTAAATCCCTCCTTGCTCGAGAAAATGACGGTGGGGTTAATGTTGGCAATGGCTCGGTGCTAGCGATGTTTTCAGTCACACCAATGGCCAATGCTCCACGTTGAATTGTTGTTGATCCGTTGGATGCAGTATAAGTAGGTCTAAAGGTGAAGTCAGATTGTAACAAAAGCGGTGTTGTGGATGAGTTTTTCCCTACAACTGCTCTTGTATCTTTTATTCCAGCGAGCTCCAGTGTATTTTGACCCTGATCGCCAAGATTATCGGCATCCGGCAAGGATGGTTGGGCGGCCCTTGCGGCCACGAGACTAAGGATGTCGAAGCTATCCTTGGAATCAGCGGAGTGGATGGAAGGAGGAGGTGGGATAGAAGCTGCTTGAGAGTGTCGTGGTGGCCGTGGTGGCGGTACACGGCGAGCTTGCCTGGAATTTCCTGGCCGATGGACCATTTGCTCTTTAATCTCAAAGTCTGATGCATAACCTCTTATCCGCATCTCCACTATCTTCAGAAGGTCTACTTCATCCTTGTTTTCAGATTCCTTGGTAGTCTCATTCTTTGCTGATCGCCGCATGCTGGTGCTTTGGGAAGGATGGCAGTTGATAAGTTGAATGGCACTCTTGCGCCACCGCTGCTATTGTGTGAATAGCACTCGTGTTAGTTCGGTAATAGCTAGCTAGAGATTCATTCACTGACACAATTCATGGGCTCAAACTGATTCGATTCCATCATCGTGGTGAGGGTACCGTGTTGCTTGAGGTCCAAAGACTTTTAATTTTAGTGTTCTGAGCGAGGAAGCTCACGGTACATGAACCGGTACAGTACTCCTAGAGCCACTCGTATCGACAGTTTGTTCGTTCCACGACTCGACTCACCAGTCACGGCACGTATTACCCCTATCGCTAAGGGCACTCCTCATCCAGTGGCCTTCGTGGCGCCAGATCAATCCCTTCGCCGGTGTCGGACTGTGCACTTTTGACCTCTCGTTGCATGCTTGTTGTTTGACTGGATCTGTTTGTCGCCATCAAGCCATCAAGGACGCTCCTGTACAATACTAGCTAGCTTAAGCAGATCACATTGAGAGGATACAGAAACAATGGCATCACAGGGTCGAATTGTGAAAGAACTGGCGGAAGTGGGCAAGGATGACAAAGTTTCTGGCATCAAGGCCGTGCCCGTCACCCAGGGGGATTTGAGGCATTTGAAAGGGACAATACCAGGACCTCAGGGCACACCATACGAAGGAGGCATCTTTGAGATTGACATTGTTCTGCCAAAGCAATATCCATTTGAACCACCGAAAATGAAATATATTACCAAGATTTGGCATCCCAACATTTCCTCGCAAACAGGCGCCATTTGTTTGGTGAGTTTTCGATTGGATTGGCAAAACATCAAGATGTATTCGCTGAGGATCCTTGCAGAAAATCATCAGAGGGCGGTCGAACGGAAAAAGATGCTGCCATCAGCCATTCCTAGCCCTGCCGTGGCAAAGATTTGTACTGTGTCAATTCTCATACTCTTGTGCTTTTCTCTCTCTTTCTCGTCGATGTCGTCTTGAACGATAGGACATTCTGAAAGATCAGTGGAGTCCTGCCTTGACCATCAAAACTGCCCTACTCTCCTTGCAAGCTCTGATGTGTTCGGCAGAACCAGGAGATCCACAGGATGCTGAAGTAGCAAAGATGTACATGGCGGATCGGAAAAAGTTTGATAGCACAGCCAAATTCTGGACGGATACCTATGCCAAACCCACATCCAAAGAAGATGCGATTACACGAGTTTGCGAAATGGGATTTGACCGAGAAAGCGCGCGAAAAGCCTTGGAAAAAACTGGATGGGACGAAAGTGCAGCAGTCAATTCGTTGCTGGGAATGTAATAGAAAATGGCCAACGAGAAAAAGAAAGTGTCGAGGCCAACAGCATGTTCTGCCAATTGGCAATTTGGTGTGTCTTGCAGTAAACGACAATCTATCCAGTGGCTGAGATTCAGGCTACAACAGTAAATTTAGTAGAGATAGATGACTCGACTCGGCACACGTCGTGGCCACAATCAGCCGATCTTGAACGGAACTGAAAATCCGTATTCGTTCCTTTCTCCGTTTTGATAGAATTGGCGAAGCGATGAATCAAATTATAGTGGCAGAATTGAAACAAAGACGTAAGGCACATAGAATTTCACTTGTCTCATCACCGACCACTGCCACGAAAACGTACAAGTGCAAATAGGTACATTGAGTAATACAGTAGGTTTGGCAGATGAGGGCCCCAATCGCTATTCGGGAAAGCTACCATTGCGCCGGTGGTGCTTGGAGTGACTGCCTAGTTAGTCTAGTACATCAATCCCCTTTGCTACCGCATGTTTTCTAGTCTAATTGAGATCAATGTTGCCCAGCTAGAGCCACGGGCTGCCTAGTCTCCGTCTCTCTATCCTATCCTTGGCATGCAATGCGTCCGTGTTTATCATCATAACCAAAGGTATTCGTAGAACCCCCACAAGTTTTTGCGCAACTACGACACTAGCTAGCCAGCTGGGTCCAATTGGTGGGCGCTGCGTTATCGTAGCGGTGGTGCCTGGAGGCGGGCTTGGGGTACTCGGACCACTCCACGGTTGCAACGTTTCCACGCCCATGCACCAACGCGCTGCGTCTTGTGAAAAGTGCAGCAGGAGAGCAAACACGGACGGTGCGCCGGCAGAAGAAATGAGCCAAGGGGGAGAATGATCCAATCTCCCAATCTAGCTTTGGTATTTATCTGTGGCGAGTAGCCAGGCGCCGAACAATCGCTTGTTGGGATTGCTTTGAGGCTGGCAGATGAAACGATCCGTTCTTCAATTGCATTGGCCTTTCGACTTCCAGTTCTGACGTACCGACCCTGTGGGTTGCATAACCACTGGTCTAGTTGGTGAATCTAGCATAGTTGTATCTCGTAGCACTTCTATGTCAATGCCTGGGTGTACCGGTATAGGTACATGCCTTCTTATGAGAGAGTTCGTCATGTCTGTGCGTGATTCTCCAGTGAGCTCGGCTTTGGCCAATTCCAGGTCTCCTGTAGCCGTGGCATCTTTCAAACACATCCACCAATCCTCGTCATCCCACCTGGCACATGCGTCCTCTGCATCGCTCAGTCAAACCAGCATCCATCAAGATTCTCCTTGACCTGCTGTACTCTTGACCAGATAATGTAACAATGTAACAGCGAATAATCTGATCGGAACACGGATTGCCTTTCGGGCTTCGGGCTCAACAAAATGCCAGTTCCAAACTACCCCAGGAGATCACTGCTGTTTCCGAAGCATGCAACACTGACAACTTCAAACTTGAGGCCGTGTCCTTGCAGGATCGCACTTTGATGTGCTGACTCTACATGGGCTCCTTTTGGGGCTACCTCTTGGGCAAAATTCTGAGTTACTGCGTGAGAGCCACCGGTTGAGCCCCCCGGTGATACTTTCGGCAACAGCTCGCCCCAAGCTATGAAGTCAGTATTACAGGCTTTTTGGCTTAAAGGATTAGGGTTAGAACTTGAACTGATACCTTGGGGTTAGAACTTGAACCGGTACCAGACACCAGTATCCGTATCCACGACTGCTGCCACCCTCCACAAGAAAGCCTTCTCAAAACTTCAAGATGCAGGTTTCGACCTTGGATTCTGGTCCTCTCCAAGACGTGTCGCTCTGGTCCTCTCCAAGACGCGTCCCTCTCTCAATCCGCTCCATACCAGAGCCACAAAAGCACATTAAGCAAGCCGAAAAGCAAACAGAACCGCAACATGGCAACCGAACCAAAAGCCACCCTGAAGGAAGTGCTGACCTACTGGTTTGGAGTATTCCCGGCAGAAGCTGAAGAGAAAGAGAAATGGCGCGGAGGGCTCTGGTTCCGTGGGTTGGACCCCAAGATTGCCAAAGCGCATCCTACCGAAGAAGGTGCGGCCATCCACCAACGAACCGACAAGTACATTGCCGACCGATTCGGTCCTCTCTTTGATGACGAAAAGGAGAACATCGCACTACAACATGATGTTGATGCCCGCGTGGCCAAAGTGGTTCTCTGGGACCAGCTCGCCCGCAATGCCTTTCGTGGAACACCCAGAGCATTTGCCTACGACGCCTTGGCACAGCCACTGGCCTTGAGCATCTTGCAAGATCCAGCCAATCAAGAGCATTTGGAAATCAACTGGAACCACACCTTGTTCTTGTGCATTGCATTGATGCATGCCGAAAAGGTGGAACACACCCAAACCGGACTGCATTTCTTGGAAGACACCCAGAAAAAGCTCTTGTGCGCCAAGAAGGACGAGCTGGCCAATCGCCTCCGGCCCATTCTCAAAAATTTCTTGTCTCATTTGAACGTCATTCTGCGGTTCGGGCGGTATCCGTCGCGAAACGCAGCCCTTGGGCGGACCAGCACACCGGAAGAATTGGACTATTTGACAACGGAAAAGCTGCCTCGTTGGGCCAAGAGCCAACAACCACACAACAACAACAAAGACGCGACAACACCAACAACTGACGCAAAATCCAAGGCTGTTGGCGATGACGGCAGCCCAACCAAAAAGACGAAACCCCTCCGTCTCTTGGTGTTGCATGGCAATCGAGCCAATTTGCGCAAGTTCAAATCGAGAGTGAAGGATACACTCAAGGGTATCTCCTCGGCAGATCAGCCCGTTCAGTTGGAATACATTAAAGCTCCGAATCTGTATCATTCTCAAGATACCGAGGAGAAGCGATACCTGGAGGGCGCTTTGGACCAACCGGAACAAACAATGGGCGACAATCGCTGTTGGTGGTACATGAATGATCAGGGACATCACGTTGGCTTGGAAAAGAGCATTCAGGCCGTGGAGGATTGGATCGAGGAAACGGGTCCATACGATGGCGTGCTTGGGTTCGCTCAGGGTGCTTGTATGGCGGCTGTCTTGGCGGCATTACAGCATGGAGGGCGCCTCCGAATCCAAGGAGGGCATCTTCGATTTGTCATTTGCATATCTGGATTCTACTGTCGCGATGTCCGCGAGGAGTTTTCAACGCTGCATGCTTCCCTTTCTTCGGAGGGAGACCTTCACACTCCAGAAACCGTCCAGGCCCGCTCCGACAAGGTCAGCATTCCATCCTTTCACACCTGGGGTCTCAAGGACTCTCTGATTGATGGCTGGCGCAGTGAGATGCTGTCCCAAGCCTTCGAGGAGCCAACCGTGGAACCCCACCCGGGAGAACACATGGCTCGCGGTATTGAGCATTGGCCCGTTGCTTCCATGCGTCAGTGGTTGGCTTCTCTCCAGCTGGAAGAAGGCAGCGGAGGAACGGAAGCAAAAGATACCTCGCCTCTTGACAGCTTTGCCGACAAATTCTTTGCATTCAAGAAAGCAGTCCAACCGACGGGCCGTGATGTCGTTGCAATCAATCGCCCACTGCGACTCCATAACCAGGAGCGTATCATGGCTGATCCTATCTGGAGCGAATTGCCGGAATCGGTTTCGGAAGTATCGTATGATCAGCTGGCCGTGTTTGTTCCCCGGTTGTTGTCTTTGGGTGTGGGCGATCACAGCCAGAAAGACGGCAACACTCTTGACTGGAAGCAACTCGTGGATGATGCCATGATTGCCGCATGGTGTTTCTATCCGTTCAATGCGGAATGCAAGTGGAGGAATTGCAAAGGCTGGAACAAGTCAGGCTTGGCCTTTTGCTGGATGTTGCGGCTGCTGTTTGAGCAAGTCATGAGCGAAGAAGCGCACGCTTACCTCTTGGATTTCCACCTCCCGTGGATCTCTCGATATTCGGACTCATGGGAGTCGTTGGTCCGCGTGGACATGATCTTCACATTAGGCACCTCCGAAAAGACATCGGATCCGCCGCCCAAGCACATCCTCCCGGCTTCGGAATATGCAGCCTCTATTCATTCCACCATTGCCGAAATCTTTGCAGAACGACTCGCTGATGATTTCCGCAAGGTTATAGAGGCCAAGGAAGCATACGACGCCTTACAGGGGACTGGCTCCCTGGAGGCCAATGACAGCGAAGCTCTTGCTAAAATGAAGCTCTATCACGCTCCAAGTCTCCCTTCCAATTGCGCAGACACGGCACCACGACGACGAGGCACCACTCAAAGGGCTGCGAAGTTGGCTGATTTGGTAGCTGATGCCCTCACCGCCAAATCAAAGGAGGCACGGGAGAGCTTCCCTCGAGGCTCCGCCAGAAACCGCTACCGGTTCGTTCTCCAGCAAATCGTTGGATTTACAAAAGAATACGCAGCGGCATTGGCAGACACCGGGAGCAGCCGAGACTTGTTCCGCATGTCCGACAGACAGTGGGATGAAGCGTTCCATCGGCCTTTCTCCGCGGCCGTCTTGCAGCCCACACCCGAGCCGGTAGATATCGCAACCGAAGAACAAATGGCGCCACTCCACGTATTCTTGAGGGAGCGCCCGGGTTCCCTTGGACAGACAGAGATGACATTTGAACGCGGAACCCTACTGGATGATGGGCGGCTGGATCTTTGCAAACAGGTCATTGGCCCTCAAGGAGTCAAACCTCTCTTTGAGAGCCTCATGCATGACGACAATGGCCTGGTGCAGCACTTGCTTTTGGGCAATAACGTCGCCGGCGACGACTTGGGACGTGCTGTTGGCGAATACATCCGTTCCGGCCAGTCCAAGCTGACCACTTGGTACATTGCTGGAAATCGCATGACCAAGGATGGGATCACTCCAGTTTGCGAGGCATTGTGCGACGATTCCCAGGTGCTGCAGCTGTGGCTGAAACGAAATCCCTTGCTTTCGATCTCCATGGGACCCGTGGCGTCCCTCCTGCGTAGCAATTCATATCTGCAAGTCTTGGACTTGACCAACACTGGTATTCTGGATGAGGGGTGTGCCGCCGTGATGGGTGCTTTGGCTGTGAATTCCGCGCTTGAGTATCTGTATCTCGCTACGAATGGGATCACTCGCGTGGGTGTGGAGGCGATTCGAAACTATTTTGAAACGACCAAGCACAAATCCCTGAAAGGTCTTGGCCTCGGGTGCAATCGAATCGGAGACGAAGGAACCAAGGAGCTCGTTGAAGGATTGAAAGCCTATGGAGTCTTGAAACGGCTGGACCTAGCGAGTTGCGGAATCGGAGAAGGAGGCGCCGAGTGTTTGGCGGGCTTATTGGCGTCGCCCCAGGGAGCCGGGCTTCGTTCCCTGGATCTTGGGGCCCACCAGAGCACTTTTGCTGTTGGTGAAGTGCCCAATCGCATCAAAACTAAGGGAGCATTGGCGCTTGCACGGGCGCTCCGATCTAACACCTCTCTCGAGGCACTCAACGTTTCCAACAACGATATTTACAACGATGGGTTTCTTGCTTTTGAGGAGGCGCTTCGTTCCAACCACGAGAAGAGTGCCCTGCGACACTTGGTCTTGCACCAACCTGGAATTCCAGTCAACGAGTTAGTGTTAGAAAAGATCCGGTTCTACGTCAAAGCGAAGGCCGTGGCGTGGCAAAAGAAGCGAGAATTGGTGCAGGATGAGGATTTCGTTGACCCTACGCACTTGGATGATATCCAGTCGGTCTATCGTGTTGGTGCAAAGTATGATAAGTAATAGAAGAAGCAGTAATCGTCAAAGTAGCGCATCCACAACGAGGTGGCTTTTCTGAGGACCAAAGCCGTCCCTGGGCAGGGGTCCTTCGAGACCGAATCGAATCAATTGAAGTTGTGCTGGTAGGGCTCTGCAAAGAGCACTGTAAATCTCCTCTACAGCAGTAATCGTCGAAGTAGCGCATCCACAACGAGGTGGCTTTTCCGAGGACCAAAGCCGTCCCTGGGCAGGGGTCCTTCGAGACCGAACCGAATCAATTGAAGTTGTGCTGGTGGGGCTCTGCAAAGAGCACTGTAAGTCTCCTCTACAAAATAATGATGATGATTTCTAGGTAATGTTATGAAGATGATCCTGAAGGATCACCGCACTGGAGTTCGCACCTTTGCAGGCTCCCGTTTGCCAGCTCTTGTTTGCCTCATTCTTCATTCCTCTTCCAACACACCAGATAGCAACGATAAAGGTCACCTAGCTAGCTAGTCTACAGATGGTTACCGTACAAGAGCTACACAAGTCATGTTCGATTGGCCAGCAATATATCCACCCCGTCGCGGATAGCGGTACCGGTACCGGTACGATGACGCGTATCGGATTACCATGCACCCACCAACTTGTCCGTTGAAACCAGAACCCGACGCCAAATCCAACGGCCACAGCAAGCAACATCATGACAGAGCATGGGATGAAATGAGCTATCAGCACAGCTCAAAATGAGCAAAAGCAAAGGGGGAAAAATGCGCTCAATGACTATCAGCGTGTGCTTTGTCGTCTTGAGTGTCTTGCCTTCAGTGTGGCTTGTGGATGCAGCTACCTCCATTGGCTCGAGAATCGCGGATATACAAAAGAACAGCTGCACCGTTGGATTGGCAGCTTGGAGTGTTGCTGGCAATGGATCTCTTTGTAGCTATGGCGCTGCCGGTGAAACCATCAGGTGGTCTGGTAAAAAGCTCAAGGTGAGGGGTGATTCTCGGCATCACATTGGGTCAGTCACCAAGGGAATGACCTCCACACTCTTGGCTATTTTGATTGAAAACGGAGTGATTGAATCATGGAACTCCACCCTGGGTGAACTGCTGCCACATGATGCTCCTGGAACAGCATATCAAGATGTTACTCTGCGGGAGTTGGTAAGCCATCTGTCTGGGTTGCCGCGATGCTTTTCAAACTGGCAATGGCTCCTGTACCGTGTGAATCCAAGCAAGGACCCACGGGTAGACAGAAAGAAAGCAACACAAGCTGCACTTCAATCTGAACCAATCAACATACCAGGAACGGAGTGGTCCTACTCAAATTGGGGCTACATCGTTGCTGGACACATTGCTGAGGAGTTCACTGGAATGACCTGGGAAGGAGCATTGGCTACAATGCTCTTTGAGCCTCTTGGTATCCAACTAACATTCGACCCAATATTGGCAATGACGGGAGCCCCGAACAATGGCAAGGATGCCTGGGGGCATGCACCTTATCTCAACACGCCATGTGATCCTGACTTTCCCTTCTATGAGTGTGATTACCCACCAGTATACGGACCAGCTGGTTTGTTTTCTGGACCCCATGCTGCCATGGCCCGCTATTTTGCCTTTCATTTGGCCTGTCATCGCGGAGAGCATTCTGGTCTTTTACTCTCCCAAGCGTCGTGTCAAACTCTTCACTCCCCAGGAAATGCATCTATCCATCCCTACGGCTATGGATGGACCTGTCTTGAAAACTCGACTGGCAGCAATGATTTGGTTTGTTCCCATGGTGGTGCAAATGGTGTGAACATATATCTGGTCGAGCTTCACATCAACAGCAACCGTGCTTTTGCAGCCATGATCAATCAAGGGGCTGATGTCAGAGGAGTGCTGCCCGAAACCATGGATGCATTTGTCGAGTTGCAAGGTCAAGAAGATTGTGCAGCTCCCATTCCTTCGTCAGTGTACATTGACAACGACCACTAGTTATATTTGGAGGATTAGAGCAGCGAACATTGGCTGAAAGGGGGAACGCTGGCTGAAAGGGGCGACATTGATCGGAGCTCAGTGCTTCATCATTCTGACAGATATCGGTTGGGTTGTTCGTTTGCCGAAACAAAGCACCCGCATGAAGAGAGCGTCAGCAATAGAGTAAGATTACTATGTGTGATGATGATGATGTTACTAGTCTAATTATGGGGATGGCTTTATTATTGGTTGTGTCCTATGTTGACCGCGCTGGATGTTGCGAATGCGGGACTGTGGCGACAGCGGACGCCTCCACGGGCTTGATGCTGCTGGCACGCCGCACCTTGTGGCTTGTAGCAGATGATGATGCCATGGACAGGGTGTGGGTCATGATTTCATTCTTGATCATTTCTCCGAAATCCCGCAGCAAATTCTGTTGTCCATCATCCAGATCGCGCGGTCGCATATCAATGATACACAGCGTCCCAATATTGTAGGTTGCGTCCCCTCCATCGTGAACATTTGGCAATGCCAAAGGACAACCGGCATAGAATCGTACCTTGAGTCCATCCGCCACAAACGGATTGTCGGCAAAGCGATCATCTTGCGTGGCATCGGGTATGACCAACAAGTCCTTTTGCAGAATGGTGTGTCCGCAAAAGGAAACTTCTCGTGGCGTCTCACTCGGTGTGGGTCCGGGTGGCATGGGACACAGCCATTGTGCCGACTTGAACCATTGTCTATTCTCATCGACCAAACTGACAAAGACCAACGGGACACCAAAGACAGTGGCACACATTTTCGTAATGCGATCGAACCGTTCTTCTGTATTCTTCGAGTCCAAGATTTGCAACGACTGCAATGCATTCAAACGAGCCCGTTCATTGCACGGTTTGATGGGTGGTTTCCACTTGCAGGGATTGCGGGCAATGCCCATGCGGATCCTCGTGCGAATATATGCCGGGCTAAAGGGTTCCACTACCCAGTCCGTGACACCGGCGCGTTCTCCCTTTGGTCGCAAATGATCCAAACACTCCTGATTGGCCACCACCACAATATACGGTACTTCCTTGCCCCAGTTTCCATAACATTGTCGTAGACGTTGGCAGTTCTTGAAGACGTAGTCGTCCGTCGCATCTTGGCAGCGGACTACAATCAGTGCCGGTTTGGCGTGTCGAAACGACTGCAAGAAGGGTCGTCCCTTGGGAATGTGGTTGACCGCCAACCCATCGGATTCGAGATCCTGAAACAAATCTAGCTGGGAATGACTAATGACCACCTGATGCATCGAGCCCTCGACAAATGTAGTCAAGGCACTACTACTACTGCTCGCGGTGGGTTTCTCGGGAAGAATGTTGGGTTTGGTAGCTTCGGTCCACGAAGAAGACTTGTTGCAAGTGACGAGTGCCTGCAGACGCTCCGGTCGTGGAGCAATTTCAATGGTGGAGAAATCGGCCGCGGCGATTACCTCCAACGTCCCTCCTGCTTTTGCCACTCGTGCCCGTGCCATGGCGAGAATCTCATCGACTTGATCGTCGGTGCGTTGTGGATCGTGATGAAACAATGCCAGTTTGCGGACTCCCACCGCCATGGCCATATCGACGACGTACTCGACCGTACTGTGCCCGTATCCTTCGGTCTTGGCATACTCGCTGGCGACATATTGCGTGTCGTGAATCAAGACATCGACACCGGCAAAGAAATCGGCGTGTCGATCATCGGGTGATTTACTGCCGTCTGGCGAACGTTGATATCCGTGAGCGAGTGCGTGATTGTACATTTCATGGTCGGTAATGTACGCCATGCTGGCTCCGGTTTTCTTGCATTCGAGTCGGTATCCCAGTGTCAGGACCGTGTGGTTAATGTACTGCGTCGTGACACGGATATCCTCGCCCAGATCGAGCTGTCCTTCCTTGAGATCGTGATAGTTGATTTCCGCATTGAGCTGTTCGATGGTGAGTGGGAAAAAGTCGTGACTCATTTGCGAGGACAGCTTGTCTTTGAGAGACGAGGAGAAACCGCCAGGAGCGTAAATGTTCCATTCCGAGCCGGGTACAAAGAGCGGTGCAAAGAACGGAAAGCCTTGTATGTGGTCCCAATGACAGTGCTATTGATATATACAGAACATGAGCAGAGCAGGAAAGCAGGGCACAAGAGGAGAAAAGAAGAGGACAAGTTAGTTCAGCAATCCATGCAGTACAGCCAGGACAGGCAGATCAGAGATCAGATGTCTCTAGCGCAACTCACCGACAACAATACGTGCTGATCTTTGAGTGCTCCCGCTCCCAACTTGACCAGTTTTTGTCCCAAGTCATAGGCGCCCGATCCCATATCCAACACCACCCTCGTCGAGTCCGTCTCGACTTCCACACAGCTGGTATTGCCACCATAGCGGATCAGGTCCTTGTGCGACCGGGCGATGGAGCCTCGAGAACCAAAGATATTGAGCTTCATGTTTCGTTTTCCGTCGTTTTGCGTGGTCAAGCTTAGTCAAGTCCGCCTAAGGCTTTAGTAGTAAGGCACTGTTGGTGTGAGAAGTGGTGGCTGAAGCGCTTTGGGTGTAAAAATGTGGGAAGGTGACGAGCTGGTGGCCGAGGCAATCTATGAAGCGCTTTGCCACTGCCACCTGTCCCGGATGCATCGATCAATAAGCAATAGTCTATGCACTGCGGAAATCACACTTCGCCGCCGAATGACTTCACATAAGCTTACATCATCCGATGAAAAGAGCTTGAAAAGACAGTCGCAAATTTTTGTCTGGTTTGATGACTGATGTGGCGCGAAACTACTAGAAGTAGGATTTAGTAACAGCCTTTTCTCAGCACTGGGGAATGAGAATGCTCTTTTTCTGTGAAGGTCATTGCGTTCGTTGTTCAACATCTCCAGCTGCGAAGCTGCGAACTCCGGTCTGAAGTACGTGAAGCGATTTAACATCGCTTACCTGGCAGCAGCCAGCACGCTATAAGAATCAAGAAACTGGCATTCCCTTTTCTGAAATACTACAGATTCGAGAACAATTGACTCCAGGATGGGAACACCGTTTTTGTGCTACCGTATGGCAAGTCAGTTTTCATGTCACAGAAATCGGGGCATGACCTCTAAGTAAACTGGTTAAAAAGCACGAATTGTGCAGGATTCAAGTTGAATCACGAGCTCACGATTTTCATGACACAGAAACTGAAATCAGTCTAGTAGGATTTCTACAGAGGTCTACGTGAGACCAATTTCTGTGATATGGCAGTGAAGTTTCTGTGACACGGGGACAGTTATTCTGGAATCCGTAGTTAATGACCCTCAGTTTTCAAGCTCGTCAAAACGCTGCCACACCAAGATCCAGCCACACGCATCGAAAACTCAAACCACTGAGGCGCTGTGCCAAACCAGCCGAAACCAAAGAGTTAAAAGCAATTTAGAAACTGGCAATCCCATCTGATGACGCTCACTTACTTTTCAGAGTTCACTGTTGCAGTAGGTAGCTAGCAGCTAGAACGCTGCCACCAAGATCAATCCAGGTGCTGAAACTGCTCTATGCTCTGTGCGCAGCTACAGGTACGGTAGTACTAGCTGCTATTAGCCAGAGGAGCTCAACCGAACACTCAAAACCACTGAGCCGACATCGTCTAATATTTGGGCTGCCAAGTCAGCGGCTTCAGCCATTCCTTGAAGGAAAGCAAGAAGGCTGAAGTTTACAGTCGGTTACTGACCGGCGGTGAGGGGTGTTCTTGTACCGTACCACCTGCAAGAAATAGTTCGACAGCTCTTCATTCGCCAGTTCTATGGTGGTTTTTCGTGAAAGCACTGGTATGAGAAACTGACCCGACTCGCCACGAAATTAGGATCGACGAAAACCGTATGTTGGCCGCAGAGCTAATGGACAATCCTGACGCAAACAACTGTAGCAGTACGGCCGTAGCAGTACGGCACCTCCCGTGCCAATAGCTATTAATAGTAGCTACGTCAGCCTGTAACAAAAGTCACGATGATGATTTCTACCGCTAGTTGCGTTACGACCGGATGCCGAAGAAAAGAGTTTCAGGTGTGCATGAACTAGCTACTGTACTATGCAGATCTAGCTAGATTGAATCGAATCGAGCCATTCTAGCTGGCAACTACGTGTACATTATTGGCTTCGACGACTGTCGAACTATTTCTCGATACCGGACAAAAAGTCATTCTACATGCACACAATCGAGCCATTGCTGGCTTGATTCTACGCTCCACGGAGTATGCCAACTTTATTGCATAACCCCATAGCTAGCCATGCTGGCATTTTCCCCCTTTCAGCGCTGTCATGCTATATAATGCATGCCTAAATGGAGCTAGCTAGCAACTGGTTAGCAACAAGGCCTCACAAACCAAGCCAGCATCTAATGGGGTCCTGGGAGCAATGCACTACCAGTACATGTACTGTTGTTTCATGAATGGCTGGTGAATAATTGGCACACCCAAATGCTGAATATGTCATGCTTTTGGGCAATGATCACAAGTACCGCCACATAGCCTAGTTCCATAGCAGACTGACAAGTTGGATGTTGGAACAGCATATTCATTCCCTCCAAAAAATTTCATTTCTTGTGGTGAGAGTATGACACCACATAATCCCTCAGGGATGCTCCCAGATAAGGATGTGTTCATCAAGACCAAGCTGGTCAAGTTGTCCAACAAAAGTTCCGTGGGAAGGGTTCCAGATATGTTGGTATTTTGCAGTTCAAGCTCCTCAAGACTTGACAACAAACCAATTTCTGTTGCAATTGGGCCTGAGAACAGGTTGTCATTGATATGTAACCACTGTAGCTGGGTGAGTTGGGGAAACACATCTTTTTCCAGCGGTCTGCCTTCTAATTGGTTGGCACTAATGAGCAGCAGTTGAAGCTCTTGAAGTTGAGCAGACAGATGGAAAAGGGTGAGCAGGAGATGATTGAAAATTGCTAACCTGGTATGAGATGGCAACTAACTCACTGGACATTGTTGCTAACTCTTCAGGTAAAGTGCCAGTGATGGAGTTCCTTTCCAAGTTCATGTAGGTCTGCAAAAAAGTGGCACAACTTGATCCCTTAGTGCATAAATAAAGGATCTATCACCACACAAGGTTCATTCACGAAAACTTACTAGCTTTGTCAACAAACCCATCTCACTTGGAATTGCGCCATTGAGCTGGAAGTCAGCGAAAACAAGATTTTCCAGGTTGGTCAGCTTGCCAATTGCAGCTGTTCAAAGCATAATTTCAAAACAATATTCAGCAATCAAAAGGCGAAGACAAAAAAATGAACCTGGCACGTACATGGAATTGATGTGAACTTCCCAGGTTTCTGACCAGCTAGAACAAGCATCTCCAAATTGTGCAAGTTTCCAACCACCTCAGGGAGGAAAGATATTATATCCAACAAAGGGCAATCTGAGAAACACAAGGTCTTCAGGTTCGACAATCCAAGAAGCTCAGTGGGGATTGACCCTGTGTAGGCAGGAAACATCACGTGAGTCAAAAGTCAACCTGTCGAATTTCTGCAATCAGTTTGTCCCCTCCCTCGCATACCTGAGAAGTTTGTTGTTCCAAATGCTGTATGTGTCAGGTTCTTTAGGCTGCCAAGCTCACTTGGCACTCTCCCAACAACCTCGCTATGTATTATCGACAAAACCTCCAAGCTTCGTAGTTGACCCAGTTCTGTTGGGAGTGTGCCAGACAAGTGCGTTGTGCTAAGCAACAAGACCGTCAGCCTTGTCATCAGCCCAACCTCGGTTGGTATATTTCCTTTGAGCTGGAGGTTCCAAGATATTGAAAAATTTTCCAAGCTCTCACGAAGCAGAGATATCTCCGGTGGTATTGTTCCGTCTAAGTTGTTGGCATTCCCAAATTTCAATGAAAGGAGTTGCCCATTGTCATCACAATGAGGAGCTTCGTTTGCGACCCAATCAATTTGTGCCCAGTTGCATTCATTAGTGTCCCAATCCAGCCAGCCTTGATTTTTCACCCAATAGTCTCCCCGTGTTGAATAATAAAATGTTGCCAGTGCAAACCTTTGCTTTAGTCGCCTTACTGGGAGATGCTGTGTAACGTTGGAGTTGTTGATATTGCTGCTTAGCCAATGATACGCCTTGGCCTGTGGAGATCTAGGATTCTCCATTGACCTGAGGGTGTATTCAGGCAGATTTAGCCTTTCCCATATTGATAGTGATGCTTGCGTCATTGAAGCTTTTGTCACAGGATTCTCTTGTATTGGATCACTCCATTTTGCTGCTTTGCTGACTGAGTTTGAATACTTGATTCCCGAGGAAGAAGAAATACCAAAAGGATGATAGAGACAATGGCAATGGCAACAATGGCTTCCAGGGATAGGTCGAGACATAGCTTTTTCTTCCATAATCTTTTTGCCCTTGCTGTTATTGGCTCCGCAGTTGCAATCTGCCCATTTGCTAAGGCATCAACTGGGTCAGCATGAATAAGACCATCCTCACAACATGTGTCATCTTGAGATGTAGGCACCAATTCCAAGCCCAGCTCCTCCATGTCAGGATTTCCAGTCAATGGCCTACTTCTTGGGCGATAAAATATTGGTCTAATCCCAGCCACAGCATAGGGCCCAGGTCCGTCCTCACTGACCCTTCTTGCTTGAGAAAATGTCAGTGGGGTTGATGTAGGTAATGGCTGGATGCTAGTGATAACATCATCAATAAAGGTCTGGGGTGAGGAAGCCTTTGAATCAAGTCTATTGGGAAATGTGGTATGATGCTGATTTCCAACCACCACCTCCATCTCTGCCTTCTCTTGCTCCCCTCTGTTCTCAGCAAAAATTCCAAATGCATCAAAGGAGCTGCTTGTTTGTTGTTCTTGACCGCTGCCATCATGACTCTGCGTCTTCTTTTTCTTCGTCTCTTTGATCTTTTTCATTTCGCCCTTTACTTCATTGGCTCGCTCTCTCGTTCTTCGTGCTCTCGTACTGCACAGGTTCTGCTGCTGCCAAACAACCTGATCCAACCCTTGCAATTGAGCTAGCTCGTCTACTGTATGCTATCGCAGCACCCTAATAATAGGACTCTACCACTTGCCACTCGACTATTACTGTATGACTCTATGACCCCCAGATCCCGTAGACTGATCGATTTTCTGGTACTCAGAAATCCTCTACGCGCCTCGCGCGTAGACCTGGTATATAATCGCTGACGTGTCTGACACCAGAAAAAAGCAACGGCTGCGGCAAAAAGAACAACAAAATAAAAGAAACATGCTGACAATGGCAGATAATGGCAACAGTTGCTATGTAGAATGTTAAGACTGACATAGAACACCATACAGTTGTAACTCTCCACCATGCATGCGCAGCTATCACCAATTGGAAGTAGTAGCATAGATGCCATGGTCAGAGAGAAAGCTCAATTTTTCTTGCCAAATGGCACACACTAGTAAAGGTCCTAGCAATGTTGCATTTCGGCTGTGGCGACACAAAGGAAGGCTCCTT